AATTACTTTTAAATATTTCAGCAATCCAAAATTCTTTTCTTTTTTTTAAAATATGTAAAATTACATTTTTAAACTACTAATATTATAATATAATGTTTGACTTTTTAGTTTTTTGGCTTTTTTAGCTATTTTAGCTTGGGTTTAAAAGCTTGGTTTGGGAAGGGCTTTTTGGCTTTTTGACTTTTTTGAGTTTTTTTATGAGAGAAGAATGTAATGATTATGGGTTGGATGTGATGTTTTGTTTGTTATGGCTAAAATAGCCTATTTTATTTTTTGTGACTAAAATAGCCAAAAAAACCTGCAAACCCATTTGCCAAACACAGGATAATCTCATAAAAGTGGATTTAGTTTCTTTGTTTTATGTAAAGTTTTTACTTTTAATTTAAATTTTATTTTATTTTAATTTATTATTATTATTTTTTTAGATTTTCCTTAAGCACATGTTAAAAGTGCACATTCGCAAACCTTAAGGAGTTAGTTGTTTGAAAAAAAGATTTTCCTTAAGCACATGTTAAAAATTACGTCTTCATGAAAAATTTAAAATTTTAATCATTAATATGTAAAAAGTTTCCCATTTATTTGTAATTATTTTTTTCAAAACTACACTGATGTGATATTTTTCCATAAAAAATAGTCGTTTATTTTGTCTTTTATTCATAGGGTGAATTGAATTTTATTGATCTCTTCTAAAGTTTAATAAAATTGCATACAACCTCCCTTAATGTTTTGTCTTAAGTTACAATACCTTTCCTCTGAGGTTTGATGAAATTGCAAAAATTTTCCCTATGATTTTTGAAATGACAAAAATCTTTCTTGAGATTGTTTTCATTGGCACTGACATCTCTTTAGATTTAATAAAATTGCATGACAAAAATCTCCCTTGAGGTTATTTTTTATTACAATTTTCCTCTTTTGTTACTTTATCGTAAAAATAAAAAATAAAAAATTTAGAAACGTTGACATCACTAAATAATTTAATTGCATTTCTAATTTTACCCTTTAAAATTGTATCCAATTAAAAAGAAACAAAAAAATACAATTCGTAGATTGTCTTTTTGTTACTGATGATTATATGTGCCTATTTTATTCAGGAAAAAATACAATTATTAGGTTATTTGTTTTAGGAAAATGCGTGAGAGCTCGAAATTGAACGAGCTCGAATCTCCCGAATGCCAAAACGACGTTGTTTGGGCAATTTTTTTTTTCTTGTTTATATCTGAGTTCAGATGGGAGGCAAGAGAGAGAGAGAAAGGGAGAAAGAGAGAGGAGAGAAGAGAGATGGAAACAGAGAGAGAAAGAGGCGGGGCAAGCGACGGCGATGGCAGGGCAGGGCGACAATGGAGGGTGCAAGCGACGGTGATGGAGGGTGTAATGGTAGACGCGATGACCTTGCACCCTTGCGATTTCTATTTTATCTCTCTCTTTTTTTCTTTTTTTTTTCTGGCTCTGAAGATGAAGATGATGTGTTGATGATGGTGATGCTGATGAAGATGTTGTTGTTGATTGTTGTTGATTTTTTTTTTTTTCTCTAGTAGATCCAGATCTGAAGGGGGGGAATGTTGGTTGATGATGATGTGATGAAGCAGATGTTGTTGTTGATGATGATGTTCATCACCAGCAATCTTCTTCTTCTTCCCTCCTTCTTTTTCTTCTTGCTCTTCTGCCTCTTCTTCTTCTTCAGACAAACGAGAAGGAAAAAAGAGAAAGAAAAAAAAAAAAATCCCAAAACGATGTTGTTTTAGGATTTTGGGCCATTCGGGGGCTTCCAATTTCAAGCTATGTAGTGCGATTGTTTATTTTATATCTTTCCCATTTAAAGTTATATTGGGTTCGTTTGGCAAGAAGGTTTGGATTGGATTGGGTTGAGATTATTTTAGCCACAAAAAGATAAAATAAGTTTTTTAGTCTAATAAGATAAAATATCATATTTAAATCATAATCATTTCCTTTTTCTCTCACAAAAGTCAAAAAAAAAATAATCCACCTCAAATGAGGCTTTTTAACTCCATGCTAAAATAACAAAAAAATTAAAAAGCCAAAAAATCAATTCACATCCCAAATGAAGACATTATATTATTTCTTTTCATCTTCTTCTTTTTTTTTTTTATAAGCCAAAGGATGGAAATGGGGCCAGTTGTGGAACTCACTTTTCCTTTCTACTTCACTCCTCTTTGGGGGTGTTTGGGAACCTAAGTTTGAGGTTAAAATAATCTTTAAAAAAATAATAAAAAAAAAAAACCAAATAGTCCCTAAATTAATGATTAATATTAAAAAAAAAAGAAAAAAAAGAAAAGAAAAGAAGAAAGTAACTCGGTAGTGGGGCTGTCACAATGTCACATTGACAGATTGTCCCATTGTTGGTAAATAACGGTTTTGCCCTTTTAGATTAATTTTGAAAAAAGTGAGGTGAGGGACAAAATTATCATTTCAGTCTCAAACATAATTTTAAATTTATTTTTTAATACAACAACTCAAATAAAAATTCATCATATCTTTTCAAACACAAAAACTAAAATAGCCTACTAAGGCCTCGTTTGAGAATAGGTTTTTTTAGTAATTTTTTGATTTTTTGACTAAAATGTGATGTAAAAAAAAAACTAGTGGTTGTGTTTGGTTTGCATTTGGGAGATGAGTTTTAGAAAAAAATTTCTAAAAAATTGTTTGGTTTGAATTTTTCTCAAAAAATTTCCAAAGTCACTTTCTCTCTTTTACACATCAATCCATCACTTTTTCTCTCTCCTCTCTCCTTCTCAATCACTTTTTCTCTTACACACATCTATTCAAATTCTCTCAAAATATCAAATCATCCCAAACTCTAAAAAAAAAACTCTCCCAAAATATACAACCAAACAAACCAAAAAAATTTCTAAACTCTCTCTCTAAAATTTTTTTCAAAAACAACTCTCCCAAAAACAAACCAAATATGTTTGGGATAACTTTTTGGATTTTTACGAAAAGATGTGTAAAAAGTAGAGAGAAAAGAGAATCTTTAACTTTTTGATATGAGTTGACTTTTTGATTTTTTTAGTAACTTTTTAACTTTTTGACTAAAAAAGTCACTTGCCAAATGAGGCCTAAAATAGCCAAAAAACCTAAAAAATAGGCTATTTTAGCCACGAAAAGATAAAATAGGCTTTTTAACCTAATAAGATAAAACATTATCGCCTTGTTTGGTTTGTGTTTCCCAAAAATTTTTGGAAAATATTCTTTACAAATAAGTTTTTAAAAGTAATCAAACCAAACAAATTTTCTCAAAATTTTTTTCTAAAACTTGTTTGGTTTACAAGTTTTTCAAACAAATCTCTCTCATACACATCAAATCAATCACTTTTTCCAAAACTCTTTCTCAAAATAATTTTTCAAAACATCTTTTGAAAAAAACTAAACCAAACAACTTTTCGTACTTTTTATCTCTAAAACTCATCTCCCAAACTCAAACCAAACCTACCCTATATCCAATCCATAATTATTACATTCCTTTCCTCACAAAAAGTCAAAAAAATCCTTCCTTAACAAGATTTTTTAGCTCCAGACTAAGATAATCAAAAAATAAAAAAAATTAAAAAGTCAACTCACATCCCAAATGAACCCTTAATAAAAATTATATAAATGTTTGACATTTTCAAAATGCTTTTAGCAATGTCTGGCCAAGTTGATTAATAGCTTACATGTTTACCTCAAGATACTTTAACCAATGTCTATAACAAAATCACTGCAGTAAAAATATTAAGGAAAATGTTTGAGGGCCACAATTTTGGTGGTCACAATGGCTTAAAACTATCAAAACGACGTCGTTTTGACATGATTTGTACTCAAAACGACGTCATTTTGACAGTTTTGAGCCATTGTGGTCACAAAAATTATGACCACGCTAGATGAGTGTAATCACTTTAATAAGGAAAATCCTGTGCCACTTGTCCTTTTGCTCAATTACATTTTTCATCATTTGATTTACATTTGAATTTTATTTTAGTCTCTTATCCCCTCCTGACTTGTAATTAACTAGTTTTTTTTTTTTTTTGTCCATCACTTTTTGTATTGTCTTGTAGCAAGTTTTATTATAAAAGCACTGGTTCAGTGTTTTAATTTTGGAGCACTAATGCTAGTCTTAAAGAGTTAATAGTTCCAAAAAAAAAAAAAAAAAAAAAAAAAATGTGTAAAGACTAAACTATCACATCAAAATAGGACCCACAGTAATAGAGTTGCTGCTTTAGTGGTTCCAAACATTATTTTTTATTATAATAACTAAGAGATATAAAGACCAATTTTTTATCCTACAAAGTGAAAATTTTGGGCTCTTAAAAGTAAACAAAACAACTTTTAACTATGAAGTTTTAAAAATATCTAATTTTGCCGTTAAAAAATATAATAACCACACTTTTGAGAGTAAAAATATTTCTTCACTAAAAAATAATTTTATTTCTAAATTTATTTCTCTAAAATATTAACTTCTTGTAGCCTTTATGTATTGTCAAAAAAATTTTATACTCGTACACCTTTTTACTAATGATATGTAGACGTTTTACATATTATTTTTCTCTCAATTTTCCAATCTACTTGCTCTAGTTTAAAGGGGAAAAAAAAATTATTTTGAAAACTAACTATTTTAATTAGTTTTTTTGACTTTTTATAAAAGGACTTCTCTCCAATCCTTAATCGGATTAGAAAGGTGTTGTTGGACTTGTTGGACTCACTTTTGGGTCTCGTTTCGATAATACGAACAGTTTACATTTTAAGATTCGTCGAATACATTATCTCTGCAAAGAAAAAAATGAACGAGGAGAAAATAAGCATAGTTTTTGATAATTAAACTAATATAAAAGTCTTAGAAACTAAGTTCTCAAGAGTGAGCTTAGAAAGCAAGTTTAAAAAATGAGATTGTATATCATGTTTTTTATAAAAAAATAATAATAACAAATGAAATTAACTTTTTTTTTTGAAAATGAAAATCTGTTTATAATTTCAAATTTTTGTAAGTATAAATAGAAAGATATTTTCTATAAAAATATTATTAGCAAATCGTTCTCTTATATATAATTAGATTTGTACACTAACTTATTATAAATATAAAGAAAATGTTAACATCTCACGTGAATGTAAGACCTACACAAATTCACATACGTATGGGTGGCTCACGTGGATGTAAGATCTACACAAATTCACATACGTATGGGTGGCACACCCATATGAAAGATTTAGTAGATTATTTGGGTTCTTAACATAACTCTAAATATAAATATATGTATAATACGCCAACATTGTAGTAATTAATTATATTGTCTTCAAAGGCGAGACGAAGCCATAATCTGTTCATGATGTTGGTCCCTGAATTGATCTTGTTCTTCCCTGTTTGATTGATTACTAGTCTCTCTGACTGTGAATTCCAATGTCTTTGCCAAAGCCCTAAGTTGAAATTTCTGAATTTTCCCAGTTGATGTCTTGGGCAGCCCATCCATGAAAACCACCTTCTTCGGCACCATGAATCCGGCGAGGTTTTTCCGGCAATGCGCTATGATATTGGCCTCTGTGACCACCACGGCGTGGTGGTCCGGGGAGTCCTCTTTGAGTGTTATGAAGGCGCAAGGGCTCTCCCCCCACCGTGGATGCGGCATTGCCACCACCGCTGCTTCGAGCACGCTGGGGTGCTTGTAGAGGACTGACTCCAATTCTACACTGCTTATGTTCTCTCCACCTGATATGATCACATCCTTGGACCTGTCCTTGATTTCTATGTACCCATCTGGGTGAATCACACCCATGTCCCCGGTGACGAACCACCCTTTGTGGAAGGCCTTTGAGGTTGCATTTTCATCTTTCAAGTACCCTTTCATGATGCTGCTGCCTCGGAGAACGATTTCCCCCATTGTTTTACCGTCATGTGGCACGCTTTCCATTGTGGCTAGGTCCTTTATGTCCACGTCGCCTAGTGTCAGTATGCTGACACCCTGTCGCGCCTTGAGTTTAGCCTGCTCAGGGCGCGACAGCTGGTTCCACTTGGCTTGCCACTCACAGACCAGGGCAGGTCCAGTGGCCTCGGTGAGGCCATAAGCATGGACCACATGGAATCCAAGCTGCTCGATCTTTTCAAGCAACATAGGCGGTGGTGGTGCTCCGCCAGTGAGTATCTCCACGGGGGTGGTGATTTCCCTGCGCTCTTGTGGTTTGGCCTCCAGGAGGATGTTGAAGATTATTGGCGCACAACACATATGTGTGACCTTGTGTAGGGCTATGTTCGAATATATCTCGTGGGCCGTGGTGTTGCGTATGCACACGTTGGTCCCACCTCGTGCTGCTACTCCCCAAGTGAAAGTCCAACCATTGCAGTGGAACATGGGGAGGGTCCAAAGGTAGACAGGCTCACTTCCCATTTCCCAACCCAAAATTAGGCTGAGAGTGCTTAGATAGGCACCTCGATGACTATACACAACTCCCTTGGGAGCTGAGGTCGTCCCAGATGTATAATTGAGGGCTATTGGGTCCCACTCGTCCTCAATCTCGTCTGGAACAAACTTTCGATCACCCTTGTAGATTAGCTGCTCATACTCCAATGAATAATCCCCAAGGCGGACACCGGTAGGGGAGTCCACGTCATCAATGACAACGACGAGTGGGATGGATGATTTGGCTGCCATGGAACCTTTCACTTCGTCCATCAAAAGCCGGAGGGCCTCGCGTGCCAATGGCATGTACTTGTAGTCGACGAACAAGGCCTTTGTTTCAGAGTGCCTGAGAACGATGGCTATGGTCTTTGGGTCTAGCCTGGTGTTGATGCCATTCAATACTGCCCCAGCCATGGGCACTGCAAAATGCATCTCATACATTGCTGGAATATTTGGAGCCAACACCGATACCTATATTAAAGTAAATCAAACCCTACGTATCAACAACAATTATCGTAGAAGAAACAAAAAATTAATTATGTAAAAAACATATATGGACAGACTCTTATTTTGGAAATTTTTTATGGATGGTGAAAAGCAATTCATGTTGTACATTCCAAATAGAATATATATATATATATATATATGAAAGAATTATTGGGAAGTAGGTGTGAAAGAAGACATACAACATTATTCTTGAAAATGTTTAGGGATCGGAGAGAGGAGGCGAGGCGGAGACAACGCTCGTAGGTTTGAAGCCAGGTGAACCGGGTTCTGCCGTATATAATAGAGGTACGGTTGGAGTAAACCTTAGCGGCTCTCTTCAAGAAAGTGAGAGGAGTGAGAGGTACATAATTTGCTTCACATTTGAATAGCTTTTCCATAATAGGATGTATTTTTTGGTTGACTTTCTTAGTTGCCTCTCAAGAATTGCAAAGAAGTCGTGCTGCTTTGAGAGAGAGAGAGAGAGAGAGAGAGAGAGTGAGTGGTGGGAGAAGGGTAGTATGATAACATGAGGATCTTGAAGAAGGTTTATGTATATAGGAAGATGTACACCAGATGGTAGGTGAAATCGATTTAAGACCTTGTTGGGAAAAGACTAATAAGTCCATATTTTTTATTTTTTTTATCTTTTTTGAGTCATATCAATCAATATTTTTTCTCTACTTTTTTATATATTTTTTTATAAAAAATTAAAAAGTACACTTATTTAAAATATCCCAAGCAATCCCTAAATATGTGGTAGTTTTTTTATTCAATAATATGTTTGGATGACTTATTTAACTCAATTTTTTTTTTGATAAATTACAAATATATTCGAGATTTGATTAAAATACGAATTGTCCTTATAGTTTTGAAAATTACATCTTATCCTCTAGGTTTCTAATTTCATAACAAATCGCCCATTTTATTAATAAATCATCAAGTCAATTAACATTTTTTAATGATATTAAAAATATATTTCAGTTAATAATTTAGGTAGTTTTATTATTGTATAGGAGAACAATTATGAATTTTATTTTTTTAGTTAATTTTGTTAAATAAAAAATTCTAGTAAGGGGACATTTGTAATTTTTCAAACCACAAGAGACAATCTGTATTTTAAGCATACCTCAGGAGCGTATTCATAATTTACCCAATTTTTTTAAATCGGTGATTGTATGGTAAAAATTAAGTTTGCATAGTGTGAGATCCTTATATAGAATAAATCTGAACCACATGATGATAATTCTAGATAGTTAAGCTTAGATTCGTAATATTATTTAAATAATGTTATAAAAAATCATATTTCTAATTTAGAAATTTTAATCATCGAAAATGATTCGCTTAACAAGGCTTATACACAAATATATTTAGGATTGGTCTTCCTTCCACTCCATGTTGTCTGAATCCATGGGATGTATTATGGATTTTATTTTGATGATCTAAATTATTTTTTTAATTGGATCATTTATATATATCATTCACAAAAAAATTAGATCAAATCGATATTTGTAGTATATTTAATATATCACATTTGTTACAAACAAATGGATGTGTATTTTTTAAAATATATTTATCATCCCCTTTTTTTTTTATTTAAAAACAAGTGTGATAAATAGGTTATGATTAATTTTGTAGATCACCAATTAGTTTAAGTCAAGTTTGTTTTCAAATTAGGTTAACCGGCATTATGAGGCTCCGTTTGGGAAGAAAAAGTTAGGCTTTTTTGGTTAAAATAGTTACAAAAAATAAAATAAGTTATTTTAGTCACAAAAAACAAAACATCAAATCCAACCCATAATCATTACAATTATCTCTCATAAAAAAAGTCAAAAAAGTCAAAAAGCCAAAAAGTCCTTCCTAAACCAGGCTAAAATAGCCAAAAAGTCAAAAAATTAAAAAATCAACCCACTTTCCAAACGAAGGCTGAGTAGATAGATTGATGAGATTAGTAGTGTAGAGCTCTAGGTAGTATTACATTGGTGATGTAAATGAAAATCCATTTGTTTGTATTAGTTGACTGTGATTATAAATTATATAAAAGTCTCAATGTTTGATTTGATTTTTAGAAATTTGGTTTTCAATTTTTTTTTTCTATAAGATTAAAAATTAATTTGGTGAAAGATATAAAAAAAATTAAAAACACTTATCAATTTTTAATAATTTTGGATTTGCTTGGTTTGTATTTTGAAACATGTTTTTGAAAGAAAATTTCCAAAGTGAACGACTTCCCTCCAGTCCAATCACGGATTGAAGGGTACTGTTTAGTCCATGGGAACCCACCACAGGTCTCGTTTCGATAATCCGAACTGTTCAATATGTAGAAATCGTCGAGTACTATATGGCTGTAAAAAATCACATTGATTGGATATCGATAGCTATATGATCAAATCAATTTTGTATGAAAAATGGACGGTGAAAAATAAACGGCTTACAAAAATGTGATTTTATCACATAGCTATCGATATCCGATCAACATGATTTTTTTTAAGTATATAGTATTTGACGAGTCTTACACTTTGACGGTTCGGATTATCCAAATGGAGATCCATAGTAGACCCCCAGGGGCCCAACAGTACCCTCCAGTCTGTTCAGACTGGAGGAAAGCCATTCCCATTTCCAAAAATATGTTTGATTACAAATTTTCTCAAACAAATTTCAAAATTACTTATCTCTCTATTACTCATCAATTAATTACTTTTTCTCTCTCCTCTCTCCTCTTTCTTTCTCAATCACTTTTTCTTTCACACATATCTACTCAATTATAACAAAATATCAAATTATTCCAAATTCTAAAACTATTTTCAAAATATACAATCAAACAAACTAATTTTTTTTTTTTAACTCTCTCCCCAATTTTTTTTTGAAAATTTATCTCGAAATACAAACCAAACACACCCATTATCTTTTGGAAGATCATAAATAAGTTTAAGAAATTTAATTTTTTTTTTGATATTTATTTTAATCAAATTAATTTCTTTTTTTTTTAAAAAAAAATTCTGATTTTTTTTTTTTTTTTTTTTTTTTTTTTCCTGAGTAACAAACCAAACAATATTACTTTTGTAAATTGAGGGCAAAGTAATATTTTTATCTCCAATCTAGTTACCAATCCTAAGGAAAGTTTCTTCAAAGAGGCAATTATAAAAATATCCCAAGGTTTGAGCCTTGATAAACTCTGAGTTTTTAGTTTTATCAATTTGAATATTAAATTTTAGGGTAAATTATAAATACACTTCTTAAGATTTGATTAAAATACGAATCGCCCACTGTGGTTCTGAAAATTACATTTCACCCTCTGAGATTTCTAATTTCATAACAAATTGCCCCTTCTATAAAGAAATCATCAAATTAATTAATAATTTTTAATGATATAAGAAATATATTTCAATTAATAATTTAGATAATTTTATTATTGTATAAGAGAGCAGTTATGAATTTTATTTTTTTAGTTAATTCTATTAAATAAAAAATTCTAACAGTGAGGTATTTGTAATTTTTCAAATTACATGGGGCAATCTGTATTTTAAGCAAATCTCAGGGGTGTGTTTGTTATAATTTACCCTAAAAAATTCTAACAATGAGGTGTTTATTTTCGTTAAATAAAATAGATAAAAAAAAGGTATTTTAGTCATTAAAAAGGTATTTAAAATAATTTATGTATAACTTATTGAGTTTAATGATTAAAATATTATTTTTTCTTCAATTTTACTTAATGAAAATGGGCAAACGATTTAGATTGAAAATAAATAAAAAGATTAAGGTTTAAATTGATAAAAATAAAAATTCAAGGTTTATTTTGTTTTATTATTTTTATTTTGGATAAGCAAAATGAACTTTATTGATGCAAATTCAAAGTCTAATACACATGATCTACATCAATAAAAGGTGGGTACAATCTACATCAATAAAATGTGGGTACAAAAAGTATCAAAGTAAAACTAAGCAATTCCAACTAGGTTGGCACCATAAAAGTTGCCCAATAATTTGCCAGCATATCCTCGGTTGGTAAGAAACCAATCCAAACAATACAAATACAGACTAAGTGTAAAAACTGCCCGTGGCTCATGGGTGGTTTAGGATGGGCCTGGCCTGTTTAGACTCGTTTGAGCCAGGGCCCGAGCCTAGCCCGAAACCCTGGGAGATCACTCAAGGCTTGGCACGCCCGAGGCCCATTGTTTTTTTTAGTGAAAAATAATAAAATTTTAGTTAAAATTTTTTTTAAAAAAATACAAAAAAAAATTGTTCAGGCTCACCCAAGCTCGAGCCAAGGCCTAGGCCCAAGCCCACCAGCCAGCCCGAGGCCCGAATACCCCTAGGCCTGGGCCTAATTTTCTGGCCCATGGACTAGCCTGGACCGGACCGAATTTTGGCGGGAGCCCGTAGGACCCGACATGGGCAGGGCTAGGCCGGGCAAAATTTTAAAAAAAATACAAAAAAAAATTGTTCAGGCTCACCCAAGCTCGAGCCAAAGCCTAGGCCCAAGCCCACCAGCCAGCCCGAGGCCCGAATACCCCTAGGCCTGGGCCTAATTTTCTGGCCCATGGACTAGCCTGGACCGGACCGAATTTTGGCGGGAGCCCGTAGGACCCGACATGGGCAGGGCTAGGCCGGGCAAAATTTACACCCCTAAATACAATGGGCCTAAAAAATTTAAAAAAAAATAAAAAAAATATAAGAAAACCAAACTCAGCTAATCCACCTAGCAGCAAAATGATGCAAACCAGTAGCAAAGTAATGCAACCAGCATTAGCAGGGAAAGCAGTGAGCTTAACACCTCATGGCCCTTGGTTTCCATCATAATCACTAGAATTATTTTATGCTCTTCATAACCTGTTGTAGGTTAAATACAAATTGGTCAATTGAGTAATCTCTTCTTACCTTATTAGAGCATCCACAATGGATGTGTTAGTGTATTTGTTAGTATCGACAGTTAATTTTTGGCCAGTTAAAAATACTGTTTTATGCTACAATGAAACTGCTAAGGGGTGTGTTAGTGTCAGCTATTAACTTGTGTGTTAACTGCAGCGAGTGTTTTAGCCAGTGAGGGACAGAGAGGGAAGAGTCGTGGGGAAGTCCAGCTGAATGTCCGGTTGGAAGTCCTTTCGGAAGTCTGGACTCTTAAAAAAAAAAGAAAAAAAAAAACAAAAATTATAGTGGGGTTGTCCGAAACAACAACCAGTGAGGTCGATGATGATAAATGAGAGGGAATTTTTATATGCACTAGGGCCGAGCTAGGCTAAGGTGCGTTGGTGGGCCGTTCTTTGGGCAGCGGTAAAAAGGGCCGAGAGGAAGGACCTTGCAGTTAGCTCGGTCCAATTGAAGATGCAGTTACCACGGTCGGTATGGTAATAGTTAGCTCGGTCATGGTATTCAGAACCGAGGTATTTGGGCTTCTTATGGTGGACCTAGCTCTCGTTAGCTCGATCTCGACGGACCAAACCGAGGTACAAGCAATGAAGGGAAGTACCGAGCTAGTTAGAGCTCGGTCATTTCTGCCGCTTTAGCATGGCTATGTTAGCTCGGTCGTTTTGT